CCCCAAAACCCCAAAACCCCAAAACCCCGTAACTCTATATCAGTCGATTTTAGGTTTAGGTATGAAATTAAGATATTAAAATGAAACTTAAATACAATGATTTAATTGTAATAAATCATAAAATTCAGCATCCAATCACTTTTAGACTCACTGAATTATTTAAGAAATATAATTTTATGTTTCTTTTCAGACACATAAACTAAGTAAGTGTCTATTTATTTCATACTGATAACTAATATTATTAACTGCCTTGACTACTTTCAGTTGTAGAATTTATAACTCCTCCAAAAGCCACATCTTCCTTGCAAAGCGGGCAAGTGTTATGGTTTTCCAGCCACTTCTTAATGCAGTTTTTATTAAAGAAATGTTTGATATTGCAGGAAAGCACTACTATCTAGTCACTTGCCTTCAATTCTTCGCAGCATATTGCACAAATAAATTATTTGTTCAGAGCATCCAGACTTACACTTCTCTTCAGCATGATTTATTTTTAGTATTACTTTAGTGTAACAATTGGGAATTTATGCTTGACCTCATTTTTATATCTGCCAGTGAGGATATTATCACTATTTAGCCTAGGCAAAATAAAGAATAAATTCACAAAAGTTAGCATTCTGACTAATATCAGCATATCTAGAATAGCAATCGAAGGCACAACTAATCTGATTAATTTAGTGCTACTCAGCATGGTTTGAATCTCATTGAAATTCTTGAAGTAAACTATAATTGCGAAAACCCCGAAACCTAAGTTGGCAAATTCAATAATAAGCACTAGGATTTTATGGATTATTGAACGAGGCATGACAATAATGCTTGCACTGCAACAGCATCCTCCACTTTTAATCCAGTACTGCACCTATGGTCTCTTCATAGATGACCTGGCAATGAAGAATATTAGTACACAGGATAATAAGAGTAAGAACTACTAGATCTCGTACCAGTACTATAATTGCGAGTCAAAGCCATACTTGGTTTCATAGTCTCTGTCCAGAGTAAAAAACAAGGCAAACGATAGAATGGCCATTAGCAGATAGTATAAGACATAATAAACGAAAAGGAATCCCTCTAATTTTACAATTTTTTTTGCATCTGTTGATTCCACTACACTGTGAAATACTTCACTGTCAACTCTTGAGTTTGTATTATTAACTCTTATTACTGTTAGATATTTCTTTGATTTGATTCGAGGCATTAATAGATTTGAAAGCTTCCTTTTTTCATTGTCATTTAGGAGAAATTTATCGGGGAAATCATAGTAGTCCTTTTTACTTTTCATTCGTATAATTGTAATATTAAGTTATTATTATTATTATTCAATTATTAAATTCTATCAATTAATTTATTATTAGAAATACTTTATCCATGGGGTTTTGGGGTTTTGGGGTTTTGGGG